CGTTTTACTTCCATAACATGAACACTGGTTCAAACATATCTCAACATCACACATTTACTTGTTAGTTTTGTCGATGTGAGTCGTCCTATCCGTATATGCTCCAAGTGTTTACTGTTGGAGAAACACAGTAACCAGGTGATATGCATCTACCTCTCCCAAGTTAGGATGTACACCATAGATACTTTATCAACTACAACCAAGCAGAAAGAAATCGGATCGACAAATTTATTGCTTGGCTATATTTTACATCTTCAATTCATTTATACTTAGCTACATAAGTGTATGTATGTGAGGTAATGTCGTAACAGAGCACTTAGTTGACACAATGAATTATGTCAATTTCAAGTAGGCTTGCGTGAGCCCTTTGAAGAACTATTAAATTGCTATTTGTATAGCACACCCGGGTTCTACAGTGCAATATTGTCATGTAGGGTATTCTCATATCGTAAATCAAACTTTCAATGGAACAAGTTTTAATAAAACATATTTAACATGACGTGATGAATTTTACGTTGATATGTTGCCATATGACAGCCGAACATTTCTTTCATTGAACGTAAGATTTTGGCTATGACCTGTAAAGTAAGGCAAAGCTACCTGGTTCATAATTTCTTCTGTACAGTGCCTTCCTGAAAGGGTCCTGCAAACATACTACAAAGTCATTAAAGGGTCAAGTGATATATTTGGTTTGGTCTGATTGTGTTGACGTCCTATGAACAGCAATGGCCAATTAAGGACATATCGGGTTTTGGTGGTGGAAGAAAGCCAGAGTACCCGGAAAAACATCGAGCTGGGATCAGTACCTAGCAACTGCATCTGTTAGGCTTCGAACCCACAACCCAATGCTAAAGAGCTAGTGATTGTAGACGTTCAGATGCCTTAACCACTCGGCCACTGCAGCCCCTGATGTGATAGAAGCTCAGTGGTCATAAACGGGTCATGTGAAGAGAACTCTTTGATTTTATAAGCACTCTACTAGGCTTCATACATTAAGGACGTAACTTATTCGCGTTCATACGGGTATGAATATTTAAACATATGTTCAATCGCTATATGTTTCCCACTAAACAACAGGTTACATACAACTATCGGCTGTGTGTCGTAAAGGTGAAGGTCAGGAGACAAAGGTCAACGCTTGCCTAGTTGGTACGTTCCTATTCATTAAATCATTACAGAAGAATTTGCAAAGCTAACTTAATACTAAAAGATAGATATCATGACAAGAGGTTTTAAAAATGTCAATCACTGAAAGGCCTCGTCATCATGGAATAATGGAATGCTGTTTTACAAGCCACTATTCGGTTAATACCACAAGCACCAGAACGGGGTCAAGGTTCAGGCAATTTTTATGTTGTATGTGCAATGACGACTACCTATTTTTTTGTATGAAATTTAATCAGTATCATGACCCGACAATATGTCATAAAAAAATGTAAGCTACAAACAAGATGTAATTTACCTCGCAATACAGCATTCATCACTTTTGCTGTTTAAAATTTATTCAAAACAACAAAACTATTCACATGTTAAATTTTTATTTAGTCATTAATAACATTCTGTCGACTTGGACAACAACTACATTTTGTACTCACTTCACAATTATATTCATTAATAAGAAGAAAAAAATCATTTGTACAATATTGTACAATCTATAAAAACTCCAAACTTAATGCTGGCTATGTTGTTAACTGCACTGATCATTTTTAGTTGTATTATTCGAAATCCAGTGACAAGACTAACTTGATTGCAATCATTTGTGATCTTATCATATACCATCCGTACTTTATATGTTCTTAAAAGATGACAAATAAATCACCCACAACAACATCCATACAACAAATTGTATTGATATAATTAGTTCAAAGAACAGACACAATTGTTCAATATATCCAAACACTGTTCACTGTACAAACTCAATGCATCCACGCTTAATGTACCGATAGTACGCAATGTGTCTATAAAAAGAAATGCATCTGAACAATTGTTTGATTTAATGACATAACTGTTCAATGTTTATACAAATTGTTAAATGTATCGACACATTGTATCTTGACCAGTCAGTAGTCTAAATGTTGATTGGGTTGTTAGGTTTTCCTTGTAATGTACAAGGGAAATAATGAAAATGGTTAGGCTGGTTTTTATAAGGGGAATCAAGAAACAACATCTGTTGCATAAACAATAGATACAATTGATTTAAATAACATAAATTTTGATTCAAACACTGGTATACTGTAGTCGTTGAACTTCCTCAGCCCTGAACGTAAGATATCTAGACCCCATCCACAGAACTCCTAGCTTGTCCACACACACAGCTTTTTGCCTGTCTATGTCAATATACAACAGTCCATGGTATTGTCAATCACCACTCAGCAGATGTAGACAGTTGTTGAAACAGTAAGCCATTACCAGTTGTCCCAGTTTGTCGTACGTTTCATCTTAACAGTACTTTTATAAATGCATAACTTTTAACATTCTCATAATCAAACAGATATAAATTTAAGTGTTGATAAAATATGAAGTCCTTTAGGAAATTAGTCTTTGAAAAGCGAGTAAAAAATATGTTTTCTAATGTCACTGCAAGATTAAACACATTTTAAAATGTTGACTTGGTTTTAGATAGTAATGATAGATATGTTCTTGATACTTTGACTTTATAACCGTTAATCACTTCAGGATCTTTGCATCACCAATTAATCAACGATAGTGTGTTGTAAATAAATACAATGGGGCTTGTTACCCGGATTCGGATTCATCTTGACAACAAACCATTATAATGTCTCTCGCCAAAACAGTGACCTAGTCAGCGGTAGTATCTTAGCCCAGTTGTGATACAGCTGCATCTTAGACTAAATTATGGGAAGGTTAATTACTGTATGTAAAAATAACTACATTGGGATGTTTTTAGTGTTCTGCTTGCAGTGGAAAAGGAGTCATAAACATTGACATCAGTGTTATATTAATTCTCGGGGAGGCTTCAATGTGCTTCTTTATCTCCATTTATTTTGGATATCGCTGAGACATCTTTCCTTAAGAGCTTCACGTTATATAAACACGTTAAACCAGTGATATATCATGATTCGAACTACCAGGTACACAGCAAGCTATACCCAGTAGTACAATAGACAAATGGCAACAAGTAATTCCACAGTGATTCGAAATGGGATGTTTATTACAAAAAAACAATACTTTTCACGAGACACTGACCTTAAGAATGTGTAGTCATTATGCAAACTATAGATTTGATTATTGCACAAATAAGTGTCCTGCATACCTTGTTCAGCTAACTACATGTCAATGTGCTTAAAAATGATACAATTTATGGATTCCTGTACAACGGTCAAAAACAAATGTAAAAACAAATTCGAAACTACTTCTTTACACCATGGATATTACTGTAATAAAACATTTCTGAAAAGAAAACTATACTCTGAAGGATTTTCGTGAAAAGAAAAAAGTTAATTTAACAAAGCATAATCAACAACAGAGTTTTCAGTGTAAAGCTACATTGGGGTATTGACTTGGACTCGAAACATGATCCTCATATTGCTATGCTGTTGTTCTAGCTGACTTGGATGCCTGGTCAACGGGAGTAATAGAATCATTCACCCCCTTGGGGGTGAGATAGAGGACTCTTTCCCCGAGTGTTGAAATTCCCCTATCTCACCCACAAGGGAGTGAATGATTATTTTTCTCTTAGCCTGTTCTCCCAGTGGGTATCATATACACAATGTAATGATAACGTTACATGCTAAATTCAGGGTTGACGTGACGTTGACAGATTGTTGAAGTGACTTCATACCATTGTTATAAAAAGGGGATTCCCCCCGTTTCAAACCTAGGGTGAGACAAGGAAATCCCACACCGGTAAAAGTGCGGATAAACCTGTCCAGGGTAAGAGAATGTCCTGTCCCAACTACATTAAGTTATATCCAAAACAAAATCATGGGAAGGTCAGGTTATACGAAAAGCTGACGTGCAGTGGGATAGGGATCCTTAAATAAATTGAATAACAACTTAATAGTACGATTAGATGAAATCATTTCCATATTGTTTGTTGATGATTTATGGAGATGAGTGGATAGCTTGCAGGGGGCATAACAAATGCAACAAGGCTTCTGACTTTTGTCTCTGAGAAAATTTGTAAAACTGACATTAGCAGGTGTCACGTGATATGTCTTTATGCCTGCACAGCTGTAAAAAGTGCAGTTATGATGATCACTCAAACCGCAAGCTAAAAAATTAGTTACATACGATATATTTATAACTGAAAAATTGTATGTCTTAAAGACAAGTTCTAACGGAACACACACACCCATGTAGGGATAACCTGCACTCCTTAGGTTTCAAGGGAGGTAACTTTATCACTAATTGAAATATATAATGCACACCTGTCAACTGATAGAGATTTTGTCTGGTCAAACCAGATACTTCAATTGATGACCAGATTGACATTAACATTTTATTTGGTCATTGATTTGACGAGGTATCCGGCAACATGACGAGATATAACAAGATGAAAAAGAAAATGAAATGAAAGTTGCTGAGATGACCGTCTCACGTTGGCTTAAAATAATCGTTCACCCTCTTTGGGATCGGATAGGGGAATCTCAACTCGAGGGGGATGATTTTTAAATCGCCAAACACGAGGTTTACCAAAGAATCTTCCCTGAGGGTTGAGATTCCAAATCTAACACCAAGGGATTGAATGATTATTTTTCTCCTACCCAGTTGGCTATGTCATAAACATGATGCAATCTTGACATTGCATAGGGATAGAACAACGTTTTTTATTTATCATGCTGGTATGAACGCAAATCGTCGGTTATATCCATATTGCATGAATCCCGTGTGGGCTTCATGTGTAATATGAATGTAACCGATTTGCGTTCATACGGGCATGACACTTTTGAAAAATCCATTCAATCCATATATATACATTTCAACTATAGAACAATTATTAACATTTATATATATTTTCTTCAATAATTTATTTATTTACTGCGATTTGTATATGCGTTGTTCTTTACACGACATTAGCGGAACAGTCCTACTTAAATAAAACTGACGCAAATACTTAACTGTAGTCATTTATGCGTTTGACGCAGGGACACTCTCCATGTTATCAGAGGCGAAGCGACAAGACTCTCATTGAACAAGGTTAGTCTATGACGTCATAAGTAAACCACGTGTTACGTCGGAATTCCTTGTATATATCTGAAGTATTAGTAAAGGATGACGGTCGACACGTTATAATGATAGCATACGGATTTAATCGCTGATGTACTGAAGTCGTTTTACTTTGTCAGCTCTAAACATACTACCAAACGCCACCCACAGAATTCCCTGCCTGTCCAAACATACAACCTGTGGCCTGTTTATCTCAGTATACAGCAGTCCCAAGTATTGTCCATCACCACTCAGAAGATGCAGACAGTCGTTGTTATTGTCAGCCACCACCAGTTGTCCCCGTCTGTCGTACGCTACATCCCAGGGGTAAAAAGGCAGGGATCCAGTTATACTGCCGTGTTCGTGTCTTCCGTACCTGCATACCTCCCGTAGATGTTTGTCAATCACAATGACAAAAGGCTCGTCTCCACCACCATCAATTGACAGGTCTCCGTCAATTACAGCAACATTCTCACTGACCGGACACGTTGAGATCGTACGTGGTGAACAAACTAATGGTTTATTTGACTGTGATGTTGTCATGAGGCTTGACATCCCCCCTGGAGTGTACTTGGTGATTCCGTGTTTCGTCCCCACAAGGACATGGCCATCTTTAGTAACACACAGACATTTGGGTTTTTCCTTTGTGTTGAATTTACGGACCAATGCACCCGATTGCAGTTCCATGACACTCTTATTTTCCTGAGAACATGCCCAGAGGTTTTGGTTAGAGGGAGATATACAGATGCTTGTAACAAAGACAGGGTTCCATATTTGTTGTGATACCCTTCCCTCACTGGTCAAATGTGTCAAAGGGTTAGTATTTATTTCACATGTCCAAACACCACCATCGCTAGCAGGACAGATATAACTAATGTTATATTGAGAATCCAATTCTGACAGAACCGAAATCTTTGGTAGAGGTGAGTCCAGTTTTGCTGAATGGATTATCTCGTACGCCATTTGGTCTAAAGGTCGCGATGGCTGTAGATCTGATATTCCAGCTGATGTGCCGTCTTCAAAAGAGACGTTACCGTCGGATTGACCAAATGAAGTCAAGGTCATTTTTCCCAATGCAAACGTCAAGGATTCGCAAGGATTAATGATTGGACTGTATTTTGCGGTCCCAAGAACAGGTCTTCTAGGTAATGTGATGTCTATGTTAAGCCTACTTGTAACGTCAAATACCTTGATATCTGTGCCAGTCTGAAGGGTTTCCTTACACTGGTTTAGTTGATCCTTCAATTCTGCAAGTTTCCTTCCCAGTTCTGTTTTGTACCTGGTGAGGAGTTGTGTATTTTCATTTTCTAAATCCTTTAATTGTGAAAGTGTTTCAGCAATAAGAACATCAACGTCTTCTTTTAGTTTTATTCCTTGGTTTTTCACTTCTTCTGCTACAAGTTTGAAATGGCTGAGGTGTTTTTCGAGACTCTCCTGGGTTGAATTGATTTCCTGTTGTATTTGAATCAGCTCCTTTTGTTCTGTTTCATTGATGAACGTTTTTATTTTATGTTTGTTGTTTGGAGTAATTTCACTCAACGGGACAATGCCATGACCTTTGTGTAATGTGGAAATACAATTTGTACATATGACGTCATGACATGTCTCACAGAACCAGTCCAATGTCTTCCTTTTGTGGTGTACGCATGTCTTATGACCTTGAACCCGGACAGCGATCTGTCCTTTATAGAAGGAGGTAGCCTTTCCAGCCATATTACCTTCTGATGAGTGAAGAAACAACCATTATAATAGCTTTATCCAAGGAACAGAACACACAAAGTAGAGACAATACCCCTATGCAGAAGTCAATACTTTGTGGTAACACTTGACACTCTTTTCTTGTAAAAGTGAGCATTTTGTGGTAGCACACTCGCACTTGTGGTAGTCTTTTGTTCGTGACAGCACAATCAATACCTGAAAAAAGAGAGATGTATTTTTGTTAGGAAAACATCATGAATAATAAGGTTTTTTCTAGTAGTGCTAGTTATATTTTATTTAGGTAGATGTTAGAAAGATAAGCAATGAGCATATATGTTAAGAAGGATATTGTGCCAGCATCAGTTTTGGTTATTACATTTCTAATCTTCTGATACCTTTTACATTCTTGCTATATTCAGATTACTTCCGGTTGTAAAAGGGCTCCGAGATTGTCACACATATAATATAAAAATGTCTGTCATGAGATAGACACAGAGACACCGTAAAAGTATCCTGAGATACCCAAACAACGGCCACAAAGGTGTTCTGAAAAAGACAAGCTGAGACTTGAAAAAAGGTACAGAGATTAGCGAACAGAGGCCACAACAGGGTCCTGATATAGACTCGATGAAACTCGAAAAGGGTCCTGAGATAATATTATCTTTATTTGTTATTTACTTATTTATTGAGTTCTTAACGGCCTATCAACGCAGAACATATATTTAAGGTCAATAAAAGGTATATTAAACTCGCAAAAAGGAAATGATATCAACCCAACAAAAAGATCAAACGACAAATATCAACTTGAAAAGCCAAAGTGGCGATTGTCATTTATATTTCTTTCGGACCAACAGTGTTTAGGTAGGTTAGAACTGTTGTAAAATTCACCGTTTCCAAGGCGGATGAGAATTAGTACAACAAAAAAACTCTCATAAAGAGGGGATGTGAATAAAGTATAGACATCGGTGGTGTGGGATAATGTTTATTTGTTTAAAAGCATTTTCTCCTCCTATGATGTTACATCCCTTTGTATGATACTAAAGCGTTTATAAATAGTTACTCCTTCGTTATGGAGAAATGACTCTTTGTTTGAGCATATTATTCGCACTTCACTCCCAAAGAACATTGTTTGAATATCCCTGAAGTCCTTCACCAATTTGTATCCTACATTATTTGATACCCATTTAACTTAAATTGAGATGATGTGAATTAAGTATATAAACCGGAATTACCTACTTAATTGATGAAGTGATGCGTTTGAGTTTTAAAAAGGAAAAGAAACCCGTTTTTTTACATCTCCTAAAATACCGCAACAAGTTTGAATTATATTTTATTTGGTTCACATAACACTTAAATTGAAATTATGTTAATGAAGTTTATTAATTGATGTTCACCTTATTATGGAATTATGCTCCTTTCTGGATAAAAAGGTACCTACAGTTTTTGGTATTTATGGGGGAACTAGTATGCTATCCTGGCGAAAGTCTTGTTTTATTCTTATATTGGGTCTATATTCCATACAAGAGTTTCAGAATTGATACATAGACCTTTAAAATGTCCATATTATGCATTCAAACGTGTTTATAAACTAAACAGTTCCGAATAGGTAATGGAATAAAAACCTTCTGGTCATTATATTGCAGGCTTCCCAATCAATATACGTCTTAACTTTGAACTATTGTATACAAACACTTACGTGTCTTACTATGTTTTGAATGCCATCAACACTAGTTGTTATTATTTGTGTCATTTAACGTCAAATCAAAAACTTACTGCATATCACCGAGTTGAAACTTTCAACGCATCTATACTAACTCAGATATTACATCAACAAAGCTCTAAACGTACCTTGTCTTGTTGAGGTGAGTCGTCCTACCTATGCAGACTTCCAAGTGTACACTGGTAGACAAACATAGTTACATGTACCAGGAGATATATATCTACCCGTGCAAAGTTTTCACGTGCTCCATAGCTACCTTATCTACCTTTTTTTCTCGTAGTAATAAATCAATATCAACATATCATCAACCTAACGCTTCTTCTCCTACCCATATATAAATTCCAATGTGTTTGTAAGGTAATATGATACCGAAGAATTTATTGACAAAGGTCATACTAAATTATATGCATGGTAAGCGGCCCCCAGGAAGAATGTTGTGTTCATGCATAACATACACAGTGCTAACAGTTTTATCTAGGCAATGGAGGGTATTTTCATATCTGAAATCAGAACATAGAATATTACATGTTTAAATAAGGTATATATTCAAAATGACTAAATATGTATATCCATTATAAAGCCCAGTGTTAACGCCCCATCAAAGGTCATTTTAATATTTAGTCATTCAATGTCGTGTGTAGACCCCTGAAGTCACTATCCGGTCATGTGATACAATGGGAGGTCATGAAAGGGTCATATGATAGACAACCCAAGGTCATTAAAAGGTCTAGTGATCGATAACCGTAGGTCTTGAAAGGGTCACATGAAATACTCAAGGTCACTGGAGGATCATATGAGAGAAACCCTGAGGTCATATACGGGTTATGTGATAGAAACACAAGTTAAAAAGTTTCTGACCGGCTGAATCTTTAAAACAAAATAGTATAGAAATGTGCAGGCCGCCCCTAAAGGTCAAGGTCATCACACGGGTTGATATGTCAATTATTAGAACATCAAAGAGTAGGTTATATATCAATCTAAGATTTTTCGTCCAAAGGTCACGGGGGAGGAGGGGGTGTCAAAGGTCAAGCCAATCTAATATTTTCAAAGCAGAATGGAAATGTATACATTCTATGAAAATCCAGTAATTCATTTACTTTCACTAGTGTCATGGTGCAAAGGGGAAATACAAATGACTCTATTGAAGAAACAATCATACTGTTTTCTAAAACGTACATAAACAAAGGAAATAGCGATACTTGGTTTCTGCTGATATTATGAGTAATCTTCTCTTGTGAGCAGGTATTGATTGTTACGTCATTGGTTTGTGTGATAAAATTACGTCGTTTTCCCAAAAATTGATGACGTTACACTCACAAACAAAGGACGTAACAATCAATACCTGCTCACAAGAGCAGATAACTCTGCAATGCGAAAAGACGGAATCTACATCCATACAGCAGTGATAGAAATCAGGATGATTCTGTTGACAGATCAGTACCCGTGTAGTGTAATTGTCAGTGCACAATGTAAGCCTTTTCTTCAATAAATATCCCCCTAGATCTATATTTATGAAGAATAAGAAGAAAGATATTGAGCCCTGATAAACGAGGTTTTTGGCTACATACATAATGCTGTTTTCTATCCTGTCCTGGTTTCTTTCATTTCAAATGAGACAGTTGTGCTTTCAGTTGACTGGACCAAATGAAATGCGCCTAGTTAGATGAATTATGTTGATGTATTACTATGATTAAATTAAATTATATTATAGTGTTGAATGACCCAATCTATGACAATAGTACAAATACTTGAATGACTAGCTTATGTTGATAGCAACATTAGGATTTATACTCTTCCAAGTAAAGGGAGACACTTTTGTGATTGAACATATTGATACTTCCCCTGAATGAAAACAAATATTTGAGGGCAGAGGTAGCAGTATACAGTAGAGGGTTGTGGCCATGGGTGATATTTTTTTGTTAAATGGCTAACCCCTGTATAATGATATGTAAAAAAAATATAAAAATAAAACTGTACTAAAATTGGTATAAGCATGATGAAGTGGGCTATGTGAGCTTCACATTTGTTAAAAAGAAAGAAGATTTTTTTGGTTCGAGAATAAAATTTTGGCCATAATCCGAAAGGGTGCGTACACATGAAAAGCTAGCTTTACAGGAGGTAAAATTTTGACAACAGCACACGACGCAAAATTGCAAAAATCAAGTTTTACAACTTTACTGGGACCCAGATAATTCTGCAACCAGGTAGGTAATCTTTAATTTCAGACAGAGCTTAGGAAAAAAATTACTAGTTGCGGGGGTCGAATTTTGGGTTAAAAATAGCATTTTTTGGTAATTTTTGATGTGGTGACCATGGTTTTCACACAAGTGACATACATAGAAAAAAGAGGTTTATACACTTTTCAGTACTTTATATGTTTTGTAAATGTAATGCAGTTTACAAATATATATACATGTATACATGTGTTGTGTAGGGTAAATCCGCTGTGTTAACATTTCCTCGACATGTGCCTTGTTTATCAGAGTCGGGCCATTTCTACTGTATACTGCTACCATATACACATAGAACTTGATTTTTTCTGAAAAAAATGCCTTTTTATGCTTGATTCAGCTTCACTTTCATTCATTTATACTTAAAACTACTCAAAAACGCCAAAAACCCCGTTACATAGACAGGTCAATATATAGTTCGATAGCCTGTTACCTATGGATGTATAAAGGGGGGTAACTCGCGCTTTCACAGGCATTTGTGAAATTCTGCAATTCATCACATATGTGTCAATTGTGTTATTGGTAAAGTTGATACCAAACATCAAATAGTTCACAGGCTATCTCCTGATGCATTCATACTAGATTTCAGTCTGTTTCACTCAGTTCAGCACCCGGTAGCCATGGTTACTAATACATAAAGTTGTATTTATTGAAAATGGGTAAAAATGGGTAAAATATCTGTTTTCATTTTAATTACACTATTTTAGATGTTTTTTTCCACTTGATTCAGCATACAGATGAAATAAGCAAAGTCAGTAATGTCAATAAATTTTATTTCCATAATTACAGCTGAAGAAAATCTTTTTTTTCTAGCGAAATATGTTAAATGAACAATTTCTGAGGGTCACTGTCAATTCTAGGCGAGGAAAGTAAATAACGGTTGCTATGGTGGCACTTGTCTGATTTTTCAGAATATCTGACATTTCTGTGCTGTTCATCGGTTACGGGAAGTGTGTCTGTTGCTAGTTTGTTGTTGAGATGGGTTTCCTATTGTTCAATTTTTTGATATCAGTGATCCTCGATGATGTCATAGATGCCCACTGATGACATCATATTTATGATGACATCACAGTTACTATGACGTCATCAAACAAGACATTAACATCATAGTATCACTGTATTGTTTGTTTTTCACATGCACATGATCTCAAAGCATCATATTTCACCCAAAAAGAAATTTTATTCAAGAAAACTAAAAACCTATTCAAGTTTTTATTTTTCAGATTACCTCCCTTTGTTGGTAGTTTGAGAGCAGAATTGGTAAATAAACCTGTCAGGAGAATTCATATTACTCGGTCACTATTAAAGTGAGAAAGGAAACGGATACATCGTTGTGTTCATTGTCTCATTTTCCAGAAATTTAAAAGGTTTTAATTAAATTTTGGGAAAAAGAAAGTGATGTATAAGGTAGCAGTATACCGTAGAGGGTTGTGACCATGGGTGATATTTTTGTTAAATGGCTAACCCCTGTATAATGATATGTAAAAAAAATATAAAAATAAAACTGTACTAAAATTGGTATAAGCATGATGAAGTGGGCTATGTGAGCTTCACATTTGTAAAAAAGAAAGAAGATTTTTTTGGTTCGAGAATAAAATTTTGGCCATAATCCGAAAGGGTGCGTACACATGAAAAGCTAGCTTTACAGGAGGTAAAATTTTGACAACAGCACACGACGCAAAATTGCAAAAAATCAAGTTTTACAACTTTACTGGGACCCAGATAATTCTGCAACCAGGTAGGTAATCTTTAATTTCAGACAGAACTTAGGGAAAAAAAATACTAGTTGCGGGGGTCAAATTTTGGGTCAAAAATAGCAATGACATTTTTTGGTAATTTTTGATGTGGAAACCATGGTTTTCACACAAGTGACATACATAGAAAAAAGAGGTTTATACTCTTCTCAGTACTTTATATGTATTGTAAATGTAATGCAGTTTACTAATATATATTCATGTATACATGTGTTGTGTAGGGAAAATCCGCTGTGTTTACATTTCCTCGACATGTGCCTTGTTTATCAGAGTCGGGCCATTTCTACTGTATACTGCTACCAGAGAAGGCAATTTGATTTTTGATAGATTTTGTATCTCAATTATACAGTTATACTTTCGCTCATCACTGACTAATCTATACAAGTATGCGTCAAAGATTATCCCTCTGCAGACAGGTTTGTTATTTATATGAGATTTTAACTATAAAACTATATTTACTACTATACTAGAGCCGGTAGGCCCCCTCTTTTGTATAATATGTAGTTGTGTTCCTGTCTCATAGTGTCCAATGTGGCGGTCTGTGCTCATATATTATAACCATTTTTGCTTTTAAAAAAATTTCAGAACTCTGAAAAAAATATTCATGATGTAAAATAATCTTGTTTTTGAGTTTTCTCTCATGTAGACAATCAGGTTTTTGTCCAATTTTGATAATATATAAAAATCGCCTTTAAAAGTTTCTTTAAAAGTGAAACAACTAGTGTATATTTGAATGTGTCACTGCTAAATCGAAACCTTGTGAGAAAATTACGTCGTTTCTCGAAAATTGATGACGTTACTCTCACAAACAAATGACGTAACAACAATACCTGCTCACAAGAGCAGATAACTCTGCATTACGAAAAGACGGAATATAAAAAGCAACGAATGCAATGGGACAAGGATCCTTATACACATTGAATGTGAAAATGATAGTAAAATTACATTAGATAATTTCTAGATTGACAGATGATAATTTCTGGAGATAGGGGGAAGGCCTGTTGGTGATATAAAATTGCACAGAACTTCATACCTTGACCGATGTCGGTGTTGCCTTAATGGTATCAAGCGCAAATCTTTTGATATTCTTCAAAGACTTTGGACCATTATACAGCATGGGATCACGTGAAGAGCCTTCAATTTTGTCATGACATATTCCAAGAGTGGAACCCTTGAATTTGGAAGAAACCTTCACCTAAATGATGTAATTTGTAAATGCTGGTTTGTAATGCGAATATAGCTTCAATAAATAGCAAAGGCATAGTCTAGTATATTGAACTCTTAATTGATTGTATGTTCTCAAATACATCTTCCAGCATACTGCAAACACGATTTTCTAAATTTATCTTAACAACTCTATTTTTCGTAACCTTTGACTAGATTTTGAGGTTCATCTAGGGAAAGAGTCAAATTGGTTTACTATGTAAATATATGGAAAGTCAGGATCAACATCGGTAGTCATTGTATATATCTCAAGTATTAGTACTTTTTGATTTAATCACTGTGAAGTCGTTTTACTTTATCAGTTCTAAACAAATCAGAAAACGTCACCCACATAACTTCCTGCTTGTCCCCACATACAGCTTGTGGGATGTCTATATCAGCATGTAGCAGTACCAGGTTTTGTCTATCACCACTCAGCAGGTGTAGAAAGCTATTGTAATAGTCAACCACCACCACCAGTTGTCCCAATCCGTCGTACGTTACTTCCTGGGGGTAAAAGGTCCGGAATCCGGGCTTGCCGGTGTGTTGGTGTATATAAAATATAAAATTAAATAAAACCCGTAGTTGTTCGTCCATCACTATATTATATGGTTCGTCTTCGCCACCATCAATTTAACAACTGGTGTATTGTAGTAGTTTTACTTTATTTGCTCCAAACATACCACCAAACACAGCCCACAGAACTCCCTGCCTGTCAACACATACAGCTTGTGGCTTGTTTATCTCAGTATGTAGCAGTCCCAAGTAGTGTCCATCACCACTCAGCAGGTGAAGACAGTCGTTGTAATTGTCAGCAACCACCAGGTGTCCAAGACTGTCGTACGTTACATCCCAGGGGTCAAAAGGCAGAGTTCGTGTTTTACGTCTGTATTGGTGTTGTCCGTACCTACATAACTCCCTTAGATGTTTGTCAATCACTATAATAAGTGGTTTGTTTTCTCCACCATCAGTTGACAAATCTCCATCAAGTACAGCAACATTTTCATTGACCGGACACTCGGAAATCTTACATGGTGAACGCACTAGTGGTTTCTTTGAATGTGATGTTGTCATGAGGATTGGCTTCCCTCCTGGAGTGTACTTGATGATTCCGTGCTTTATCCCCACAAGGACATGGTCACCTTTAGTAATACAGAGACATTTGGGTTCTGAAGTAATCTGTAATCTTTATTACTCAATGGCTGCTCAAACACATGGTTCCAACCAAGGGAGATCACTCTAATCCTACCTTAAGGATACTTGATTCTAGATTGGTTAACAAGTAATATTAAGGATCCATATGCGATGATGCATTTACTACACTCCTCCCTTTTTTGTTGAAACTAATAGATGTACATTCAGCTTCAATTTAACTATATAAAATGTTCTCACAGAACTTAACCGTTAAATGGAGTGTGATTACTCATGAATTATAAACTAAATAAAGTTCAAACAAGCCGAGTCCATTGTATAGTCTTTTTGTTCATAATAACATATATATATATATAGGGCAATCATGATGCCAGACTAGAAGTAACTCTATATGAGTATTAACCAACTAAAACTAAACTACTGTGAACACAATATAAGCAATAACTGACTAGAAATTGGAGTAGACTGCTCCAGATTTCAAAGAGATTCAGGGATTATTCTGCCCTTAACACACAACCTCTTTCCTATGTATATATAATTCTGTTAACAAACATAGTCTTTGAACTTCACTGGAAGTTTTGTCTCTCTCTCTGGACGAATCCTTGCAGGGAGAATTGCTGGAGACTCTGACACAGTCTCTGAAAGTTCAGATCTCTGGAATTGGTTCTCTGGAATTTGTTCTGCTGGATTCTCGGAAATCGGTAGTACAGTGCTCGGACTAACGCTTGTGCTTTGGCTAACACTAGGTAATCTGGGATCGTCCATTTCCCTCCCTCTGTAGTTATCTACTACCTCTGTACTGTCAGGAGAGTAACGAATCCTAATGTGGTCCACGTGTCGTTTCATGACTCGACCATCTTGAAGGTGTACCGTGTACGATACAGGACCAGACCTTAACTCAATGGTGCCTTCCAGCCACTTCGGACCTTTTGCAAAGTTTTTTATAAACACTGCATCTGATGCTGTGAAATTCCGTTCTTTAGATGTTCGATCATGGTACTCTTTTTGCCCAACTTGTTTCCTGACGACCTTGGTATCCAAACATGGTTTGACTAGATCTAATCTTGACCTCACTCGACGGTTCATCAAAAGCTCACACGGTGCAATCCCTGTGGTCGTCTGTGGTGTGATCCGATAAGTCAATAAAAAACGACTAGTTTTTTGCTCCACTGTTCCATCCGTCTGTTTCTTGAGACCGTCTTTTAGGATCTGAACGGCTCGTTCAGCAAGACCATTTGATGCAGGGTGATACGGAGCACTCCTCACATGTCTGATACCATTTTCCTTCATGAAATTGTCAAATTCTTGACTCGTAAAACATGAGCCATTGTCACTAACGATCATTTCTGGCAGGCCGTGTGTAGCGAATGCCACTCTGAGTTTCTCTATTGTCGCTGTCGATGTTGATGTTTTCATCGGAAACGCTTCCATCCATTTTGAATGAGAGTCAATGACCACCAGGAACATTTTCCCCATAAATGGTCCTGCATAATCAATGTGTATTCGGCCCCATGGTCGGTTCGGCCAATCCCACGGGTGCAGGGGTGCTTCTGGGGGTGGTTTCCTGTTCAACTGACAGAGTGAACAGCTGCGAATTTCCTCCTCCAGATCCGAGTCGATCTTAGGCCACCATACATAACCGCGAGCCAAACTCTTCATCCGGTTTGTTCCAGGGTGTCCCTCGTGTAATGTCTCCAGAATTGGTGCATGTCCCTTGAGGGGAATGACAACTCGACTGCCACAAATAAGACATCCATCCTCCACACTAAGCTCCTTCCTTACTATATAATAAGGTCTCATGTCTGCACTAGGATTTTTATCAGGCCAACCTGACTTAACGTAGTCTACAACCTTTGCTAGAATAGGGTCTTGTCCCGTCCATTCTCTCACTTTCTTGGCATTTACCGGTGTTTCCTCAAGATGTTCCATGACTAGCTTTATTTCTCCAGGCACAGGGACTTGTGATGTACGTGTCGATTTCTCCTCTATTGGCAATCGACTGAGTCCATCCGCATAGTTCAGTTTTCCTTCGCGGTACTCCAAGGTGTACTCATAAGCCGCTAAGGTCAATGCCCAACGAATAATACGTGCTGCTGCCATTTCAGGAATTTTCTTATCTTCTTTGAGGAGTCCCAGTAGGGGTTTGTGATCTGTATACATTTTAAAATGGTTGCCAAACAGGTACTGATGGAATTTTTTAACTCCAAATATCATGGCTAGACCTTCCTTCTCCAAATGAGAATAGTTTTTCTCTGCTGCTGTCAAAGTTCTTGACGCATAGCCGACAGGTCTTTCTGCCCCATCGTCCATTTTGATTGCTAAAACCGCTCCTACACCATAGGGAGATGCATCACAGCAAAGCACAACTTCTTCTTTTGAATCAAAATGTACTAACACATCAGCTGAGATCAAAAGGTCCTTCGATTTCTTGAATGCTGTCTGTTGTTCCTTAGCCCATCTCCATTTTTTCCCTTTTACTAATAGTTCATGGAGAGGCGCCAACACCGTAGCCAGATTGGGTAGAAACCTGTTATAGAAATTTAACATTCCCAGGTACGCTTGAAGTTCCTTCAAGTTTGTTGGGGCGGGCATCTCCTGAATGGCCTTGACCTTTTCAGTTACCGGTTGTATGCCCTCTTCGCTTACCTTGTGTCCTAAATACACTACTTCCTTTGCGAGGAAAATGCACTTGGATGCTTTAAGTCGAATCCCAGCATCTCGGATTCTTCTCAGAACCTCTCTCAGGTGACTAAGGTGTTCTTCTTGACTCACCCCTGTGACTAGAATGTCGTCCATTCTCACCAATACATGAGGGATTCCTTGTAATAGGTTTTCCATTACTCGTTGAAAGATTCCCGGGGCTGAAGATACTCCAAACGGCAGACGGTTGTATTGGTATAGTCCCTTGTGGGTGTTTATGGTTACGAATTTCTTCGACTCATCATCAAGCTCCAGTTGTTGGTAAGCCTGGCTTAAATTAAGCTTGCTGAAACGTTTTCCTCCACTGAGTGTGGCATATAGATCCTCTATTTTAGGTATGGGATAATTGTCTAGCTTAGATACTCCATTTACAGTCGTTTTGTAATCGCCACAAATTCTTATGGAACCGTCGTTTTTTACAATTGGAACAATTGGTGCAGCCCATTCTGAAAATTGGACTTTCTCCACAGTTCCCTCTCTCTCAAGTCTATCCAGTTCCTTTTCAATCCTCTCTTTGAGGGAGTAGGGAACTGGCCGTGGCTTGAAATATCTAGGGTGGGCCTCTGGGTCGACATAGATTTTTGCCTTAACCCCTCGTACTGTCCCAAGTCCTTCCTTAAACACCTCTTGATGAGCATCTATAATTGCTTTCACTTCCCCCTCCATATTACTAGTTTCCAACTTGAAAATGTTTGCCCAGTCTAATTTGAATGTTTGTAGCCAGTCCCGTCCCATCAGATTGGGTCCTGTGCCTTAAACAAACACCACGGATAACAATGTTGTTTTGTTTCTGTATCCTACATTGAGTGTCGCTTCACCCAACACAGGCATACTTTCACCGGTGTAGGTTTTCAGTTTGACCTGTGACTGCTTCATGCATATCCTGGTACCTTGGTCCTCCAGGTTCCTCAACGTCCTTTTACTGAGGATAGTGACTGACGCTCCCGTGTCAATTTCCATCTCTACTGGAGTGTTCTCAACCTGCATAATAACTTTATATGCATCTTTGGTATCACTTTGTCCCTGAACATGGAACATGGTACCATACTCATCCACATTGTCATCACTGTCCTGCTGGAGATAGTATTGTTTTTTGGTGTATCCTTTCTTTTGTGGATTGTTAAACTGTATTTTACTCTTACATTTGCGTGCTATGTGTCCTTTTTCTTGCATATATGACAATCTTGCTCCTTAAAACGACAATCATCTGCTAAGTGTCTGCCACCACACCTGTAACAATCTCCATGTGGCTTAGAACTGTTTCCCGGACTTGTGTAAGTCTTACCACTTCCGGTGCGAGTTGTACCCTGTCCTGTTTTGTTGTTCTGTGATTGGCCCCAGAATTTACCACCCGAATGCTGTACCTTATTCACAGGGTTAGCGGTCCCTTGTTTTTGGATATCCGCTGTGTTCTTGGTCGCCATTTCCATTGCGTTGGCCCAATCTAAGGCTTTCTTAAAAGTAAGGGTCGTTTCACCGAGCAGTCTCCTCTGAATACGATCATCGTTGATACCACAGACAATGCGGTCCCTTAACATAGTTTCCAACGTCTCACCGAAATTACAGTCCTCTGAGAGACGTCTGAGCTCAGCTACATACATTGCCACAGTCTCACCCGATTGTCGAAATCTGCTGTTAAATTTCAATCGTTGCACGATTTCGCTGGGTTTGGGATGGTGATGATTTTGTATTAACAATTTCAATTCATCAAATGTCTTGGCCCCTGGTTTGACTGGCGCTAACAAATTGCTCATTAATTTGTACGTTTTGCCCCCGCATACTGATAAAAGAATAGCTTTCTTTTTTCCTTCCTCCGTTATTTCATTTGCTACGAAATAATGTTCAAGCCTTTCTGTATACTGCCCCCATTCCTCACCTTCCGGTTTGAATTCATCAATTTTGCCGAAAGCCGCCATCGTGCGTCGTTCCGGTGTGTAACGTTAACTTCTCCGTTATCCTCGTCGCCATTTGAAGTAATCTGTAATCCTTATTACTCAATGGCTGCTCCAACACATGGTTCCAACCAAGGGAGATCACTCTAATCCTACCTTAAGGATACTTGATTCTAGATTGGTTAACAAGTAATATTAAGGATCCATATGCGATGATGCATTTACTACAGGTTCATCCTTCGTTTTGAATTTACGGACCAAGATATCTGTACCCGATTTCAGCTTCATGACACTGTTATCTTCCTCAGAGCATACCCATACTTTTTGTGTAGAGAGAGACATACAGAGGTTTGCTACTCTAACAGGGCTCTTAATCTTCTTCTGCTGTACTGTTCCCTTATTGGTCAGGTGTGTCAAAGTTCCTCCATCAACTCCACATGCCCAAACACCATCATCGCTAGCAGGACAGATATTTCAGATGTCACATGGATAATCCCATTCTGACAGAACTGGAATCTTTGGTAGAGGTGAGGCCAGTTTTGCTGAAGGTCGAGTAAGCTGTTGATCGGACGAACCAGCTGATGTGCCGACTTTAGCAGTGACGTGATCATCTGTTTGACCAGATGAAGTCAAGGCCATTTTCCCCAATGCAGACGTCAAAGCTTCGTTAGGATGTTTGCTTTGACTGAACTTGGCAGTCCCCAGGATGGGTCTTCTAGGTAATGTGATGTATGTATGTAGTCTACTGGTAATGTCAAACACTTTGATATCTGTGCCATTCTGAAGGATTTCCTTACACTGGTTTAGTTGATCCTTCAATTCTGCAAGTTTCCTTTCGAGTTCTGTCCTGTAACTGGTGAGGAATGGGGTATTTTCATCTTCTAAATGTTCCAATTGAGAAAGTGAATTGATTTCTTGTTGTATTTAAGTCAGCTCTTTATGTTCTTTTTCATTGATAAACGTTTTTATTTTATATTTATTGTTTGGAGTAGTTTCACTCAATGGGACAATGCCATGGCCTTTGTGTGATGTGGAAATACAATTGGCACAAATGGGGGCAAGACATGTCTCACAGAACAAGTCCAATGTCTTCGTTTTGTGATGTACGCATGTCGTTTGACCTTGACCCCGGACAGCTATTTGTCCCTTATTGAAGGAGATCGCCTTTCCTGCCATTTAACCTGGTTAAGAATGACGTTACAAGATCATAAATGTTTCCTCGAACGTAGAAATATTCAAGTAATGGAGACACTCCATATGTGTGGTAGCATTCTGTTCTCTTTATTTATGGTAACCAATATCGTGTGGTAACTGATGTACTTTATGTAGTCAATGTTCAGTAATCTGTGGTAACACACTCCACAAACTCGGCTTGTATCGTAGATATTTTTACTGTAAAGATAAGATATTGAAAACCTTTAAGTGTTTATAACGACAGAAACCATATTGATTAATTATGGTGCAAATTAAAGTTTATTTTTCCTAGATGTTTGAATTATAAAAAATATATTCATCAAAAGTGGGATATTGCTGCCCACCATCATAAAATCTTCATTGGTTCTATTTGAGTTTGGTCTTTTATTCTTTTTTATCTTTTGGACAGAGTTATGTCAATAATAAATGCATATTGAGGTAACATTAAATAAAAACTGCATACTGCTATATTAGACATTTTATAGTGAGGTTGACCTTTGACCTATTCACTTACATAGTACTTAATGTGTCAGGAGGGTAACCTGCATTTGGAATATGAGAAAGATATCCCATGCACTTCTTAGGGAAAAGGCGAAATGAAAAAGGCAAATCTAATAACAAATGAAAAAATCACATTTTTAAATTTGAGGAAGTTCTGTCAAATACTTTTTGACAAATTTGAAATAACAGAGTTGATCTGTCAGAATTAAAGATGGAAGTCTGAAGATCATCCTGTTTTTACGATCAATTTCAAAATAAATCATGTACACATAGGGGAATTTACAAATGGATTTTGAGTAATAGCGATAGCAAACGTGAATAGTCAAATCCAAGATGGCTGCCTGGAAGAACTGACCGATGAACATTTCTCAAACAAAAAAAGGAACAATTTAGACTACTTAATTAATTACAAATGTGGACACACTAATAAACAAAAAAAGATAAAAAGGTACCTGAGTTGAGGAAAGAAAGATAAGATTCGTTTATATATAGTCTAAGTGGAGACAATGATATTCGAGCAGCTGTACTCTACAAGTCAGCTCTAGGATCCACAGAAGTATTCGTGTCAACGTTTCATAAGGAAATTTTCTTTGTTATTGTCGACGTGACCGAAGGAAATACACTTTCCTCTGTGTGTATAGGCAGAAGTATGAACAGAAATAAGGCAATTATATTCATTAAACTTACCTGTTATTTTATTGAGGTGAAACGCCCTGTCTACCTAGCTTCCAAGTGTATAGTGGTAGCCAAACATAGAAAATGTAAGACATCTATCCACCGTCCCAAGTAATAGCGTGCACCCTACCTACCTAAACTATCATATTGACGCATAGACGCATGTATACTTCCTTGATATTGTATTACTTCTCCTTTCCATCTATACCTAGCTCCATAAGTGTGTTTATGTGGTGATAGAATTCAGTTGACTGATGCTACCATAATTCATATGCAAATAAACTTGCTGCGGCCTTTTTGAGGAATGTTTTTTTCTTTTTACATTTTTGGAAATCCCAGGGTTAACATTTCAATTTATGCGACGCAGTATATCTAAATATCTAATAAGTAAAAAAGAAACTGTGAATGTCCAAGGTTTAACTGCTTTATACTGTGATTGACGAAATATGTAATAATGTAAAGATTCATTGAACACATGTCATGAAAGGTTACTGGAGGTCATTAAAAGGTCAAGTGATAGACATCCTAAAGTCATTAAAGGGTCATATGCTTCCTCCTTAAGTTAATGAAGGTTCACGTGATAGACGCAATGAGATCCATAAAGGGACATGCAATAAAAACTATAAAGATTAAAAAAAGGTCATGTAATAAATCAAGATACTTTTATAGGGTCATGTAATAGGAATACTAATATCACTAAAGGGACATGTGATAGACACCTGAGATCATTTATAGGTCATGCAATAAAATCCAAGCGGTCATTTTATAGTCATGTGATAGACACTGAGTTCATTAGAGGGTCATGTTAGGACACAATGAGGTCAATAAAGGGTCATGTAATCAATACACTAAAGGTAATTGAGGATCAGATGATAAACAACATAATATCATAATACGGTCATGGGATATTTACACTGATGTAAGCTAATGTGAAAGTCCTTCTACGGTCATTCAGGGTTATGTGATAGATATGCTTATGTCATTAGATATATATGGTCATGTGATAGTCACACTGAAGTCATCGAGGGTCATGAAATGCATGCCAACAAAATGTCTTGTGATTGGCACACTAAGGTTATGCAGGGTCATGTGATGGACACAATGATGTCATCAATGCGTCATGTGATGGAAACAATGAGGTCATCAAAGGACACGTGCTACACACAATGATGTCATTAAAGGGTGATCGACACATTGAGTTGATCTACGGCCATCTGTAGGTTATTTTTTCAGAGTAGAAAAACAAAATAAACAATTTTTTTCTCCACTTGCGCCTGTTAAATAAAAAAATAATATACAGCATTTGATATAGCGCCGTAACGTCACATTACCCAAATCGGAACACTTTTTAATGAAAAATGATGATTTCATACCATAGTACCGATCCCAGTAATTTTTGTTCACTTTTCGTAAAAATATATCAGTATCTTTTCATTTTTATAACAAGTTGATATTTCCGGCGAGTGGTTCTATAAATAGAACCGGAAATATAGTCATGGTTACGTAATCGCGAAACGGGTGTATCTGTACCCAAATCGGGACACCCCAACCAGTTTTGGCTTATATTTGTAAATGAAAAAAGTATTTAGCAGAACATGGCATATCTTTGGAATATTTAAGAGTCGGGGGTCGTTCTGAATGAATTTCTTTTCCGAACTACAATTAGTTGTGAAATAGTAGGATTGTGAAAAATCAATAACGTCGTATGGCGAATCAATTTAGAAC